GGTTAATATGTATACGTTGCCATCTTCGTACAGCTCACTTCACCTCGCCTAGCACACTCGCGTGCTCGCAGTTTGCCCGCGACGTCGACTGCGTGCACCTCTGCTATGCATCCCTACCCTAATCGAAGAACTTTTGAAACGATTACACAGCCACACAAAAAAAAATTTGTTTAAAAATACCGATGACATTAGTTGCGTTTTTTTACTAATTATCCAGTAACTTGCTAGTAACTCTCCAGTAACTTATTTTCCACGAATTTGACATATTTCGCTCTCAGAGAGTGAATCATACAAGAAAGTACGAAAACGCAAAACTAGTAAGAAATTAGTTGTGTTTTTTTACAAATTATCCAGTAACTTGCCAGTAACTCTCCAGTAACTTTATTTCTAAGAATTCGCTCTCATAGAAAAAATTTGCAAAAAAGTACGCGAACGCTTTTCCAGTAATAATTTGCAAGTTTCATGAACAGCTGATAAATTGGTTGTTTGTTCGCAGCATATTCCCAATAAAACGATATATTTCCACAATAAAAATCCACAAACAGTTTCCTTATTAGTTTAAATTTCATCCAGCAACATGCGATCAGCTGTTTTTCGTACTGGCAAATTCTTACAAGTAAAAATTTATCCAGTAAAATCCAGTAAAAACTTGCTACTTCAGCTGTCATTTTTCGCTCTCTCAATTTCCCCTACTTTGCAAGTTTTTGCGTACGAAAACGCCAAAACATGAAAATTCGTAAAAACTTTTACTGGATTTTACTGGAAATGAGTAAAAAAACGCAACTATTGCAAGTTTTTTTTGACAGCTGATTTCTTTTTGGCGCGCAAATAAAAGAAAACAAATAAACATAAAAGAAAAGTTAACAAATTGAGTGCGGCATCAATAATTAACAAAAAATGGAAGAAGACGGTAACAAGCTTAACATAACTTGTTCTCCTGGAACATTTAAAAAGGTTCAAGACGGTGAGTAAACAATTGAAAAGAAAACCGTATTAATTTAATGTAATAAATTAATTTATCTAACAGACGCAGTTTATAGACAGAAAATCATAAGCGAAGTGGCTGGAGAACAATGCTTCGAAAGCATTATTATAACAGAAGAGCACAGCGGGAGCGCTGGCCTTGAAGAATCTTTCTCGGAAGAGATTGCAATGGGCGAAAGTGAAAGGGAAGACTTCCTTCCAATCGGTACAAGTGCTGAGACACCTGACGGTAAGAGGCCTGCGTGGTTGGATGCGCCAACAAAGCTGCTAATTTTGAAGGTTAAGGAGCTGCGGCCGAAAGTTGGCAAAAGCCAAAACATGAAAAACAAAAAGCAAATGTGGAGCACGATTAGTAAGGAGCTTTGCGAAAAGGGTTACTTTTACACGTCTTCACAAGTGGAGGGGAAATTTTACAGCCTAGAAAGACAGTACAAAAAGACTAAACTAAATAACTCTAAAACAGGAAGAGCCAGAATGACATGCCCTTATGAGAAGTAAGTATTTGAACAAAATTTCTTCTTATTTTCGTGAAATAATCCATAATTTTCGTTAATATTTTGATGAAAACAGTGAGCTAGACGATGTTTTTAAGCAAAAAAAATCCATTTTTCCTGAGGCGGTACTCGACAATGAGACTCAAATATCGGTGGAACAAAGCAGTGATGCGGATGAGAACATCGAGCAATTACCAGCTACACCAGGTACCTACTACATAACTTATGTGTATAAATACTCCATAAACAAATTTTTAATTTTTATAGAAAACATCGACTCTGGCCCATCAACATCAGCCAAAAGAAAAACTTCTGACTCCTTCGAAAGCACTTCGGGTATTAATTACAACTTATGCAAATTAATAAGCATTTTACAATAGGGCTGTACAGGATCTTGAGCATATGCTCTTGCATTTGTAAATTGGCAACAATAAAATGCACATGTCATGACAGCAAGCATAAAATTGCAAATGCAATTCCAACTGCAAATCTAAGACCATTTCCACAACATCCTGAACAGCCCTATTGTATTTTTTACTTAAAACTTTTTCAGAAATAATATAATTATGTTGATTTTATTATCTTTTTAGAAGTCCTTGATTTCGGGCCATCAACTTCTAAAAAGAAGAAGTCTCATCTAGAGGCTTACATACAACAAAAGAAGAAGTCGGACGAAAAGCTTGAAAAGTTGCTGGAGGAAAGTCTAAGGAAGAAAGAGGAGAGAGCTCAAGAAAAGGCGAAGATAGAGAGGGAAAAAATTGATATCTTGAAGTCGATGGTGGATATTTTAAAAAAGTGATTTATGTATTTCTTTGTGGTACGTCTTAAAGATATACTTCTTTTCCAAAAATATGTTATGTCAACTTACAGTTTTTGTTCGTTGCAGGTATCTTGGAAGTGGATTTTAATTATTGTTATATTTTATAAAGTCGTAATACATACTTTATTAATTTTTTTTTAATTTAAATTTAACAGTGTGCCTTATATGAAAAAA